TTTTTTTTTTTTTTAGATAGATTCTCACTGTACAGTTCAGGCTGGTCTTGAAGTCACTGTGTAGCCCAGGCTGGCCTCCAACTCCCCTACTTGAAGGAGTACACACTTTAGTGAGGGGGCAGCAATTAAACTAGCATGTGGCAAATTCTCTAATGATCAGTGAGGGTGCTAAGAGGGCACAGTGAAGAACACCGGACAGTCCAGAGGGATTAAAACAGCTCCCCAGAGGGGACGATGATTGCTTGAATATTGACTTTTGCATAGAAGTAATTCAGGTAGATTCAATAATTTCTAGGCAAAGGGCTAAGGGCAAAAGCATAGGAAAACATGAAGCAAACAGGAACCTGATCAGTAAAAAGGAAGGGTGAAGAATTGAATAAGAATTTAGATCATGATGAAATGGAAAGAATGATACCTATTTCTTAGGGGCTTGCAAAAGTTAAATGAGATAACACACATATACACCTTGCTAGTGCCTGTCATGCAATAAGCACTTATAAATGTTAGCAGTGGTTACCTAGTATTACATAGGAAACCTTGCAAACCAGGCTGGGTGGTCTAACTTCATTTGGAAAGGAAATCTTTGACTATTATGACAGTGAATATGGAAGCAAGACCCAAAGGAAGCCAATGATGATCTGCAGCCCAAGCCTTCCAAGAGCTTCTCAGAAAGATACACAAATGTCCAGGAGGTGCATGAGAAAGTGCTCAGAATCACTAATCATCAAGGAGATGCAAATTAAAACTACAGTGTCTTACCTGTTAGGGTGTTATTCCTGCTAGAATGGTTGTTGTCAAAAGAGAAAAGATACAGAGAAAAGGGAACCCTGTACATTGCAGGTGGGAATGCAAATTAGCACAGCTATTGTGTAAAACAGTATGGAGATGCCTTTAAAAATTAAAAATATGATATAGCCATTCTAATACTGGGTACATATAAAAAGGAAATGAAATTAGTGTGTTGAAAAGCTATCTGAGCTCCTATATCCACTGCAACATTATTCACAATAGCAAGATAGGGAATCAACTTGTCTGTCATGGATGAGTGGAAAAAGAAAATATAACATACATATATACACAGTGGAACACTATTCAGCTTTTAAAAGAAGGAAGTCCTGTTCTTTGTGACAACATGGATGAACTTGGAAGGTGTCATATTAAGCGAAATAAGCCAGGCACAGAAAGACAAAAACCAGATGATTTCACTTACTATGTAGGATCTAAAAAGGTTGAACTCAACAAAGCAGAAAGCAAAGAAAGCAAGAACTAGGGTCTGGGATGAATGGGGCAGGGGTTTGGGGGTTAGTGAAAGAATACAAAATTTCAGTTAGGCAGGAGGAATAAGTTCCAAGATCTATTGTACAACACCTGGCTATAGTAACAATATATTGCATTCTCGAAAATGGCTTTAGAGAAGATGTTGTGTTCTGATCCCAAGACTGAGAAGCATGGGAGGTGATGCATATGTTAATTGGCTCTATATAGCCACTCCACAATATACATTTATTTCAGAATATCATATTGGAGGGCTGGGGATTTATTTAGTTGAGTGGTGTCACCACCTGCTGCGCAAGCGCAAGATTCTGAGTTCGATCCTTGGTACAAAAAAAATAAAAAAAAGAATATCATATTGGAAGGGCTGGGGATTTAGCTCAGTGGTTCTGTGCCTACCTCAAAAGCACAAGGTCCTGAGTTCAATCCCACATACCTGGAAAAAAATAGGTTGGATCTGATAAATTTATATAATTTTTTTTCTGGTACTGGGGATCAGACTCAGGACTTTGCACTTGACAGGCAGGTGCAGTGCCACTGAGCTACATTCCCAGCCCTATACAATTTCTGCTTGATTAGAAATAATTAATTCTTAAAAAGGCAACCTCTTTGTTGAGTAAGGTCTTTATACTCATACTTTAAAGTTCATACTAATAATCCATCAGTTTTAAAATTGTGTTTTTAGATAAAGTATGCAATTCTATGCTGACACCTCAGTGAAGTCTTTTGATGGGTGACATAGCAACAGTACACACTATGAACTTGATTGCTTCTTAGTGAATGTGTGATTAAAAAAAAACAAAACAAAAACAGATGAATCTCTTCTTTCTTCCCTATGGCTCACCCTCCAGGGAGGCTCTGAAAAGAAAACAATTTCCCTCCTCTCCAGACAGGAGTTCCCTCCCGAAGGAGTGAGCTGGCTGTGGAGAGGGAAAGGCAGGCCCAAACTGGATCCTTCTTGCAGAGCTGGAAGTGATGGCACCCATCTCAGGTAGGGTTGTGGGGAAGGGGGACACAGAAGCCACTACAGGCCCAGGCTGTGGCAACAGAGTGCTTTTCTTCCACAGTCTCTCTCCTATCTCCACAGGGGATCTTTGGTTTTGGTTTGAGAGTAGTGTTCTCTGTGCAAGGGAAATACTTTTCAAAGTCAAGCAAATGGAAGACTTCGGTCACTTGGCTCTTTGCAGTCTCACGTTATCTACGTGTCTGAGAAGGGGTCTCACTGAGTGTCTTCCTGTTAACTGTCCCTAGTAACCTTTCTCAGATTTTCTTGCTTAAATGATCAACAGATATGTCCTTTAATCACCTTTGTAGCGATGTTAGTTTCATTTTATTTTGTGGGAGTGTGCAGAAAGGGATTGGAGGAAGGAATTCTGTGGGCGGCTCTGCTCCTCAATGTTTTCTGCGGCTGTATGTGGACAAGGTGCCGGGAGAGTCTGTGCTGTTACTTCAGTGAGTGCTGAGCTATGAGACTTCGATGCTAACTCTCCTTGAGTCTCCTGGGGACAGGGCTCATCTCATTGATCTGGCACAGAATGTGGGCCCAATACTCTTCCCCGGTGAATGAAAGCAGAAGGGTTATGTTGGTATCATTAGACTTGAACCTGTCCACCCCCTCTTAGACTCAGTCTACCCCTTCCTTAACTGGAAAGTTCAATGGCTTAGTTACTCAAGGTGTGTGTGTGTGTGTGTGTGTGTGTGTGTGTGTGTGAGAGAGAGAGAGAGAGAGAGAGAGAGAGAGAGAGCATAATTAATTTAAGGAGTTAATGACCAGTGCTCAAATGGTTTGCCACAGTGAAACACCTTGGTGATTATTTACGAAGCTTAAATCTTTTTCTATGCCTAAGCAGCCTTAGTGTCACCCACAAGTAGGAGAGTTAATGGTTTTTCACACTTATGGGAACTAGAACTGCAAAATATTTGGCTTTAATGATGTTGAAGAGAACTCAATAGCATTATGGTATTGATTTTCCATTGTTGTCCCTCTCTCTTTTTTAAGTTACAAAAGAACTACATTAGACTTAAACGTATTTACCATCCACTTAGTATACTAAGACACATGGAATATTTAATGTTCCACTTTATTGCTTGCTGAAAGAAATAAATGCATAACAAAATGCTTTGAAAAATGGTTAATTTTTCAACTGTTGATTTAATGTGTTCAATAAGGCGAATCGCCCTGGTCTACAACTACTGAAAAATAGAAAAATTACCCGCACTGGTGTGTTGAATCTGTGAACATTAAGTTTGTCAATATAATTTATGACTCGGCAGGTAATATACCGGTAATTTGCATACTAATTGCTGTGGTGGAAGCCAAATGACTTTAATTCAGTAAATTAGTCTGCCAAAGCAGAAGTGGGCAATTGCCTCTGTGCTGGGGAGAGAGGATTTTTAGGGTGGGAAAATGGAGTTTGGGAAGGAGACGCCAAACTGCCCAGGCCCCCTGCTGGCAGGCGGGAGACACTGCGGCAAGACACAGCTTGCTGATGGCCTCCTGCCTGCTTCTCTGACCAAAGTCCAGTGGGTTTTTCAGACGATTCAAATTCAGAAAACAGAAGACTGAGGTCAAAGGAGTTCATTCTAAGGGGAGAAAGTACACGTCTGTGTGTCCAGTAATAGACACAAAAAGAAATTCAAAGGAAGAAAATCAGTTCCAGCTTCCTAAGAGGAGGCTTCTTTTTTTGCGTATAGGAATCCGAGAGTTTGGGAGAATCCAGTGATGTTTGCGATGCCGTGGGCCCCATATGCATGCAGAAAGATGTGCAACCTCTACACTAATGAAGAAAGGAAAGCAATCTGAGCACGGAGGAATAGTTTTCTAGTAGAAATTAAAAAGACTGAAAGCTTTCATTGTTGTCAAGGACATGGGGTGTTAAGCACAGTACAAGACAGCATATCCTTTGGTAGAGCGATGTAGTCATAGCCATCAAAGTTTTAAAACTCACGCATCCTTTGAGGTATAATCCATTTCAGAAAATGCATCTTATAAAAATATAAATCCTATGATATTTTCAATATACAAAAGCAGTAATTCCAAATGATTCAACTTTAATACAAGGGAATTCATTATAGCATCTTGCAGTGATGACAGTTTGGAAAGTGACAATGTTCAGCAGGAGGAAGCTGATTAAATAGTGGCACACATCATATGAAGTTTTTAAAGACTGTGACACATGCCTGCAATCCCAGCTACATAGGAGGTTGAGGTAGGAGGATCACAAGTTCAAGGTCAGCCTAAGCAACTTATCAAGACCCTGTCTTAAAATTTAAAAACAAAAAAATTAAAAGGGTTGAGGATATAGCTCAGTGGTTGAGTGCCCCTGAGTTCAATCCTCAGTACTTCCAAAACAAAACAAACAAAACAAAAGATAGCTGTATAAGATTATATATAATCTTATTTTTGTCTTTATTTATTTTCAGTCCTGGGAATTGGACTTGGTGTCTTCTCACTGAACCTTATCCCTGGCCCCTTTTAATATTTTTTGGGGTTTTTTTTGGCCCCTTTTAATTTTTAAAAATTTGAGATATGCATAGAATGTAGGTATAGAAAAAGATTGGATGACTGCATCCTCATTTTCAACCATGATTACCTTTTGAAAGTAGGGCATGGGAGAGCTTCTTGGAGAGGATTTTTTTTTTTTGGTACTGGGGATCTAACTCAGGATCTTGTGCTTGAGAGGCAGGTGGTATAACCACCGAGCTAAATCCCTGGGAAGGGAGGGATATTTTTAAAGCCTTTTTATGTTTGAATTTCACATGGTCATAGCTCTTTTTGTAGCTTGAATCACCTCCACAAAACACAAGATAATGAAAATAAAGCATAAAAGTGATGGAGAACTTACTCAATTAAAAAGAATACCTTGTGAACTAAATTAATATCCAGTAATTAATATTTGCTTTGTTTAGCATATCAAATTTTAACATATCAAACTTTCTTTCTTTTTCTTTTCTTTTTTTTTTTTTTTTTTTTTTTTTTTTTTTTTTCTGGTACTGGAGATTGAACTCAGGATATTGTGCTTGTGAGGCAGGTGGCAGAACCACTGAGCTAAATCCCTGGCCCAACATGTCAAACTTTTAAGAAAGAGGATGCACCTATACATTCCAGGTCTCAATGTTTTAAGAGTGGTGGTAAAAATTAGGTTAGATATTTTATCAAAACTAGCTATATGTGACTCAGATGCAATGCAACAACTTAAAAGAGTATTGTACCAAGACAGCTGTCTACTTTGGTTATAGTACAAAGACATATAATTTTAAAAATAAAGCATACAAGGGCTTGAAAAAGGCACATGAAGACATGAACATTATGAACACACAACTGGACTAGTTCAGTAATTAAAGACACTGCTTGCTTTTTCCTCCCTTCTCTGCTACCAATGTTTTATTGAAGTATAACTTATATACCATAAAATTCATAAATCTTAAGTGTGTGACTTGATAATTTGTCAAATATTTTTAGGAATGTGCTGATAAACCAGCTCTTTAGGAAAAAAAAAACTCAAAATGTGACTTGTAGTATTTGTTGATTTCCATGGTTTAAATATTTCCACTGTGGCCCATTTTAAGCTAGCAAGGGTTTAACAACTGGCTTACAAAACTTTCCCGATTACACAGAGCTGCCTCTTAGGAATATAAGAGGATAAACTCAGGACACTTTTGAATGTATTGAATCATCTGCTACCACCCAAATCAAGATGTTCACCCAAGTTTTCCTCTTGGTCCTTTCCAATTAATTCATCACTTACCTTCCCTAGACAGACAGCAATTCCATCTTTTGTTAGTATGGATTGGTTTTGAACTTCACATAAATGAAACTACAAAACAGATATTCTTTTGTCTGTGGCTTCTTCTTCCCAACTTAATATTTCTGAAATTTGTTCATATTATTGCAGAGGACACCATTTTTAAATCATTGTGTTTTTCTCCAAATTATTTTCTATGTCCTTGTGTTGATCTTTGATCTAGTATTAGAATAATAGAATTAGTACTTTTAAAACATAGTTTTCTTTCTTTAAAACTCCTCTTTCTTATTTACTTTTTCTAGTTGCTCAGAATATGATATTGGCCATGCTGCAAATAGGATGTAAGAGAAAACAGATTCCATCATATTTCTAAATTTCAGATCTCACATTGTATCAAAATGAGAACCAAGTGAAAAGAAATTATAGTCATTGAGAGCTGTTTACCAGTTGAATCCTCTTTTCATAGTGTGTGTATGTGTGTGTGTGTGTGTGTGTGTGTGTGTGTATCTGTCTGTCTGTGTTGTGAAATGGTCGCATCAAAGCCTGGCGAAGATGCCAAGTATGTACCCAGTCAGACTCAAACCTGGAAACAGCCTGACTTCAGTTCACCAGCTGGGAATGTTTTTCTTAGCAACACCCAAGGCTCGTCAGAAGGACAACATTAGAAATCAGAGGCCAGTGATGCAGGGTCATGGTATTCAGGCAGAGGCCCTGGGGGCTGAATGCAGGCACTCCCCAAATAAACTGAAGAGCCTGATTTCCATGATGCTGTATGCTGTCACTAAGAATTTCTGTAGCACTTGGCAATTTTGTGGTATTTTTAGCCATTTCCTCAAGGTTTTCCAAAATAGCTTTTTCCAACTGTCCTAGAGCTGCTATTGTTTTTTACAAAAAAGAATGGCAACGTTAGGATCTTGAATCAATGGGCATTCTGAATGCTCTGTTCCTACTGGAAATCAGCATTTGCCTAGGTGTCATTTAGGGCTAGGTGCAAAGGGACTTCAAGGAAGAACTGAGGCCTTGCATTGGTTGGATTCTACTACAGAGATAAATTTGGGGTTAAAATGAAATGCTACAGGCCCAGCCTATGTTCCTTGCCTTTTACCCAGGGCTGGACTGGAGTCCTGTGATCCTGGATCTTGAGCACTGGTCTCAAGCCTGCCCCAGGAGTGCCCTGGAAGCAGAAGTGTGTCTGTGCTGCACCCCAGCTTCCCTGTGTGGACTCTCTCCTCTGCTCCAGTTGAGCTCCCACCTAGCTGTCTTAGGATTGTCTCTCCCCCTAGCTGTCAATCAAGGTCAGACTTATATTTGGTGTTGCTTTCTCAGCCTTTTCTGGCTCCTTTTCTGTTCCTTCCATTCAGGTATTTCCACTAATAAAATCTTTGCCTGTTTTTCAGAGTATCTGGATGGACACAGACTATTCATCACATCCTAGAGAGCCGACGTCAGATGGGTGGGTGCTGGCCAGCCTGTCTGAAGCTCTCCTCCAGCACTGGTATCTATGATCCACAGACTCAGTTCCCATGAAGTGCTCTCTCTACTTCCCAGAAGGGGGTCCCCATCAACAGCAGGCTTGACTGTGACCCCAGCCCCAAGGGGACTACAGGGAAGCAGCCCTCGGCATCACATGGCTCTGTGTCCTTACCTGGCACGTGTTCCTATCTCTTCCTCATCTGTGTCACTACCGTGTTGCACAGGAATCCTCTCTCCAGTGAAAGCTTGAAAGCAACAGTGAAGGCAGGAATGATGGAACTTGGATCAATATCCTCAGTTACCTCAAAATCAGCTTGGAAGACAAAGGTTGTGCAGCCACTGCCCCTACAAGTGTGCATCAGGGAGAGCAATGAGAGTTTGCCCACCACACGCATCAATGCTGGAGGAGCCAGAGACGAGAGCGGACACTGAGGCTTACTATGTCTCTAGCTTTGTGTTTCTTGGCTTTTTGCCTAGCCAGCTATTGAGAAGCTTTCAGGAAAATAGCAGAGCTAACACTGGTTTCTTCTCTCTACCCTCAGAAGATGCTACCTTATTAGGTCCTCAGAATGAGGTCAGAATCAGAGTGGGAGAAGGGAGGCTGCTTTCTCTTCCACCAGAGCTGGACATTCAAGACTGCAGAGACTCCTCAGGAGCTGATGTGTTCCAGTCTGGCAGGAAACGTAGTCCTTGTAGGGTGGGCCTGCTCAGAGCCCAGTTCAGGCCAAGGCCTTGGTGGAGACAGGCAGCAGAGATGCAGGCTGAGTCCAGATTATACTCTGGGGACCAGAAGCCTCCTTGGCATCTGAGAACTGGAGCAGGACTTGGGACTAGAAAGGAATAGATGATAATGTCCAGGACTCAGCTTAGGTCTCAGCAGCATGAAGCTTTGCTGATGAAGGAGAAAATTTGTATCTTGGACCATTGCTTTCTTCTCTCACAACAGATCTACCTAGGCTGAATCAGCCCCTGTGCAAACCAGTACAGAATCTGTACAGTGAGATGGTTAGTTTTACTTGATTTTGCTAAAAAAAAAAAAAAAAAAAAAAAAAAAAAAAAAAAGACGTGTTTTCATCAAATGATGGTTTAGAAGGGAGAAACAAAGAAATTCCCAAACTTGGGATAAAAGCAAATCACAGAATCTTGACATGCAGAGGTTGTAGGTGCAAACTTAGACTCTTTTTGGGTCCAATTACAAGGTCTCCCTAAGAACTTAGACATGTATGGCTAACAGACACTGGACACACCAAGTTAGCTCCCAGATGCACAGTCTAAAATGTAGACATATAATTTGAATACCAATTGTCCCTTCGCCAAACCTAGCAAATAAAAAGTTTTGTCAGGAAAGATGGTCTCATTTTGATTCACTCTGCTCTTGCCATCTTTGTAGCCAACAGTGACTTGAGATATCTACATCTTCTTTCTCTTTCAGGAAAAAAGTTGTTCCCAAAGCTAAGAACCTTGGCAGAGATCTCTAAGGTTGATCTATTAAGGACTGTGAGGTTCAGATGAATTCTCTCATTTCTATTCTGGATGCAGTTGCATGCATATGAACTCCATACACGCATGCTTTTTACTTTAAAAAAAAAAATCACAAGGGAAGTGGAGTTAGACCTTGGAACAGTTTGTTCCACAGAACTGAGTGAATCATCTTCCATAATGAGCCGTGTTGGCCAGAGTCGCTGAACACTGAATGGTTCTGTTTATCAATTATTCAAGGCTGCTGCCTACCAAGGTCACTCATTAACATAGTAAGGGCTGATTGGCTCTTTGCTCCATTAGGGCCCACCTGAAGATGTGGACTTGCTTGCCCTTCTGACTCAACAGTAGTGTGCCTTTCCAGGGGAAAGAAGGAGCTTAGTGAATGAGAATTTCCACCATAGTTTCTCTTCCGTTGCCACAGAACCCTCTGTGGCATGATGTGAAGTCCTTTTGTAAGGACCAGGAAGCGGAAGTGAGGTAACTCACTCCAGGAACAGCTCCGGTCCACGTGTGACCTGGACTTTGGCCACATCCTTGCTACTCAAAGTATAGGCTGTGGCACGCACCTGGAGCTTGCTAGGAATGTGGAATTTCAGCTCCACTGAGACCTGCTGGGTCAAAGTCTGCATTTTAATCTAAGTTTCAGTGCTTCGTAGGTAGTGACACAGTACTGGATGCTGGGAATATAAAGTGTTTGGCTCTGTCTTCCTGGAGCTGCAATCTGAAATGGGGAAAGACTGATGACTTCAATGAGCAGTGGGGACAGCAGTGTAGAGGTCTGCAGTGCGCATAGATAAAAAAGAGACTGGGGTGAGCTCCACCCTGGGGAGAGGGGTACTCTGACAGGGGATGGTTTGCTAATCAAAGGCAAGGCGGTAGATCTCCCTGCTCCATTATATCACGCCACCCCACCAGGGTTATCTCTTGACATTCTCCAGCCTGTCTCTCTCCACTCCAGCTCTCCAGCACTGATGTGAGTTCCTTCAGCTTTTGGTTTTGCCACCCACCTTTCCAGTGTCTGTTGCTTCTGCTTGTGCTGTTTTTCTTCCATATTCATGGTGAACTCCTCTTTAGTCTGCAAAGCCCTGCTCTGGGATTCCATCCTCTGTGAAAACTTCAAATGACTACTCCTGGAGAGAATTAATAATTTCCTACTTTGGTCTACTCATACATTTTTAAATATATTGGATTCTACTGCTATTTGTTTCTACCAGATTCTATTTATATGTCAGTTTCTATTGTTATCATTTGTTTAATGAGGGCTTTACTTTAAAATGGTGGTTGTAAGTATATTTTTTTCTGGTAGGAAATCTATTAATTTGAATTTCCACATTGGCAGATAGAAGGCTATCATTACTGTTTTCAAAATTAATTTGGAAAAATCTTGAAGGCATGAAGACCCTGGGGTGTGGAGTAATCCATAGTTCTTTTGGTCTGGCTTCAGCACAGAGTGAGGAGAAATAACCATCTTCTCTGGCAGGGCTGTGGAGCCTGGATCAGGAAAATCCTTCAGTGCTCCACTAAGGAATTAGAATCAGAGCTCTGAGAAATTTTGAGCCCGTTCTTACAGCAGGGGACCAGGTAACTAGATCTTTGTTTGGATAATTGGGAGGGAGAAGGATCAGTATTCCGACTGGGAGGATGGGAGGGTGGCATAGTAGTAGGGTGCTTGTCTAGCGTGTGCCAGGTTCTGGATTCAGTTTCCCAGCACTGCCAGCAGCAGAGAAGCTGGAATCAGGTAGAAGATAAGTATCATTAGCAATGGGTTTAAACAGTGATCTTACTGTTCCAAGTTCACAGTTCGGGCCAGAGCACTGCTGGAAGGGTGAGCTTCAGCAGAGCAGACACAGGTGGAGGCCGATTAATTGAGCTTTCTAGTTAACTCGGGGCAAATGAAAAGTCATCCCTTTTGTTTTCACCAGTATTCCATGTCTTCCTACAATGCCCAGTTTTTTGCCCAAGTCATATGCTAGACAGGGCATAGCACCTGGCCTTTGGGTGCATTTCCACATTCCAGAGACAATAGACAAATCACTAAAGAACAGTAATTGAAATACTTAGGTAGTGGCTTTGGGTGAGTCATTTAGTCTTCACCGTGCAAAATGGTGCAGCCACTGTGGAGCCTGGCTAATAATCCTGCAAGATGTAAAACAGTTACTCCATCACCTAGCAGTTCTACAGACAAGAGAATGAAAAAGAGGTTCAAACAAAACCTATACATTAATGTGCATAGCAACGTGATTCATCTTAGCAAAACAATGAGAATAACCCAATGCCCATCGACTGTTGGGTGAATAAAAATGTGGTATATTCATCCCATGGAATAGTTTGTTCATTAAAGGAAATGATGTATTGATACATGCTACAACATGGTGAACCTCAAAGCCCTGAAAGATAACAAGGGAAAAAGACAGACACTAATGGTCCCACACTGTAAGATTCTCTTGTATGAAGTGCCTAGAACAGGCAAATCCATACAGAAGGCAGAGAGTTGTTTCACAGGGGCTATGAGGGGGAGAATTAGTGAATGTCTGTATAGTGGGTCCACGTTTCTTTTTTGGAGTGATAAAAATATTCTGGACTAAAACAGTCACGATGATTGCACACTTGTGGGTTTACTAAAAACCATTGAAATATGTGCCTTGAAATGGCTATCATGAAGAATTTTGTGTGATGAGTGTTTTTGCTCAATTTTTTAAAAAATTAGGTTAAATTTAAATGTCTCAAAGATTTCTCGGAGACCTGACTATGATTTAAGGAAATCTTTCTAATGCACAGTGAGTGTTCAATAAATATGTGGTGAATTGAAGTGAAAGAAACAATGTGTGACTCTGTAGAGTGCAGCTGATTTCCTCCATGTGGGGCTGTGTGGCCAGGGGGCATCTGCCGGACCCTTGTGAAGTGCAGCTTGGGACAGTGCCTCCTTTAAAGGAGTGCATTTCACAGGTGCTGTGATTGTACAGGCATAACAACCCATCCTCCAGAAAAAACGTGACATGTAGGTACTTGTAAATGTCACTGATATAAACAACATGTGGCATGATCTACAAATAAAAATAAAATACATAATGCTTTCTACTATAAATCCTATTTAGCCAATTGATGTTCACAGAATGTTTTTGATGATCTTTGCTGAACTCTTATATTTGCTGCCAACCCATAGTTGCAAATGAACTATGATTTAGCAAATGAAGTTGTGTATCATCCTGTGTTTCCAATAAATTTATTGTCACTACTCTGATATGTAATCATTCTATTATTTCTTACTCAAGTAAAATTATAACCATTAAATTGAAACCTCTTCCTGCTTTGGTACTATGCATGCTCAAACTTCGCTTATTTTCCAATGCTGTGAATAATTTCCCTAATGAATTAGATAATTTTTTGAATATTGCATAAATATTTCTTCGCTCTGTCTCTGTGTGTGCATGTGTGTGTACTAGTCATATTGTAGTGGTTACAACTTTTAAGTTTAATTTTCATTATGAACATTTTCAGTCTTTCTGCCACTTTTCTTCAGTCTCGCAGCCAAACAAAACAATAGATCAAGTCCCAAGTTATTGCATTTCCTGATTTAATGGCTGGTTTTCAACTGCCACCTAATATCACTGAATATGGAGTGGGAAGAGAAGCAGCATCATAAGGCATTTCCAGACAAAGACAAAAGACACAAATCACCCAAAGAACAGATCATGGTAAAATAATTGTGCAGAAATGAGTTCAAATTATTTATTACCTCTCTTTAATAAAATAGATTTAATTGTAACTTCACATGGTTTAATTTTTAATAATGGCCATATTTTTAACAACCAGCTGGCAACATTTCTATAAATTTAGCATGGGCTTCCATGTGCCACACTGCCTTGGGTACACCAGTGGATATGACTGTAATTAGCAGCTCATCATACTTTTATTAGTTCAGCACCCCGCCAGAAACTTCATAAATATACTCTCCTACAGATTTCAACACTCTCTTAATTGCAAATTGGGAGTGTTTCTTAACCATTATGCTGTGAAGTATTTTTTACCTTGAGTTACTCTATGTCTCAGTTACTCTTCTCTTGTTGCCTTTTTTTTTTCTTGTACTAGGGATCAAACTCAGGTCCTTGTGCTTGGCAGACTGGCCCCACAGCACTGCTGAGCTACATCTCTGGCCCTTTCCTCTCATTGCTGAGACAAAATATCCGATACCCAAAGTTAAAAGGGGAAAGGTTTATTTGGTTTACAGTTCATAGAGGTTTCAGTCCATAATCAGCTGTCTCCAAGGCAGGGTAGTTCATGGCTGCAGAAGACAGTAAAAGCAACAATAGACCTTAACAGTGTTTGCCCTTTTATCTTATTCAGACTATTTAGGACAAGTAGCACTCACACCTTTAATTTTAGTGCCCTCCAGCCTAGCACTGCACTATGAATTAATCACACACTCCAGATTCAGCCATCTTTGAAAAAGCCCCATCTAAGACCACTTGAGGCTTTGGGGGGACATCTCAACACAACGCATAACACTCCACATTTTTTTTTAAAAAGTGGCAGAATGGAGTTCTAGACTAAAAGCAGCTTTCTGAAA